TATATCCTCCATTTCATAGATAACAATAAGATAACACTTTTTATTGGTGAAAATAAATATAGAGAATAAAACTTACTCAACGTCCCGCGTTAGTAAATCTGTTTCGTATATTTGGTCAAACTGAGTCTCTATTACTCCTAATGTGTCGAACAGACGAGGGAACCTGGAAACCAAAAATAAATACACCATTAATTGATCTATTACTATATTGACAAGTTGACTGATTATTGAATTCATTAGCTGCTTGATTATTTGGTTTATGGATTTAGCTGCAGATAACTTATCGAAGTGACTGAACGAATGAATGATAAGTAATTGAATAAATGATGGATTGCTTTATTGATTAATTGATTGATTGATAAAGTTATTGATTGAATATTTGGTTGATTTATTGATTGGTTTGATGGTTGATTGATTGACTGACTGATTCTTGTTGGATTAACTATTTGGTTGATTGACTGATTGATTGGATTGTTGATTGATTGATTGATTGGTTTGTTGATTGATTGATTGATTGATTGATTGATTGATTGATGGATGGATCGAGTGATTGATTGATTTAATATATTGATCTATTATTATAGCTTACTTTCGTGTATATTCCATAATAATTTTTTGCGCTGCGGATGAAAACATCCAACCTCCATAATCTCCTCTCTTGACATACCCAAGAAGCTAAAATACACAAAAACACTTATCAAAATTATTTCATTTTCAACAAAGTAACCTTACTTTCTTCTACTACGATGCATATTTAAAATCTCGAAAGGCATGCCGGTTGATCATACACCTTTATYATGATTATCACTAACCTCTTTGTTTTGCTTGGAGTGTTTCAAATTTAAACCAATATCAAGTTTTGATTGGCCTTGTCCTTTACTCCTGAAAAATATAAATTACGGATTACTTATCTGCRCTAATTCTCGGTGGTCGCTTGCGTTTTGTTTGTTCTTGTTTGCCGCAGTTTGTGGGAATAAATAAAATTTTAATTATGTCCTGGCAGGCTATATGACCAGGTCTTGGTCTGCAAGCCATGGCTTGTGGCACGCTATCCAATCTCATTGTAAATTCCTGTCATTTTTTAAAAGCGCAATCTTCAAACAGTATAAGTACAAATTGCGGGGCAACAATTCCTTTATTTCACTATACGTCACAGCGGCCATCTTGGAGGAACTTCAACAAAGGAYTTCTCATTAGTATCTATTGTTCATTTCTCCAACATGGCCRCCGGTCTTTTGAATTTCACGGGAATGGTTGAAAAAGATCAATTCTTATGCTGAGCAATTCTCAGAAATCTATTTCCTAACATCATTGTGAAAGGCAACAATTTCTAAGAAAATACCGCCGTGCAGGAGCACGTTTCCTTTGAGTTTGTTTCAGTATCATTGACTTGAAAATGACTAAAAATCAGTAGTATGTCAGTCATGAAATGCTRGAAGTCATCGCGGAAGTTCTTACATTTCTCTGGAGCCTCTTTCAATAAGGAATTTTGCGGTAATTTTACCAAGAAGAGAGTTTGACAAGCCAAGTTTTTGCGATAGGATGTGAGCTGGAATATAAGTATCTGAAAGAGACTGGTAACAAAAAATTATGTTAAATCGGGATACACAGGAACCCGCCTCACGCCCACCCACTTAATACGGCCACTCGTAATGCCTAGATTTTACTGCGAACAAATAAATAAATAANGCGTTGCTATAGACGTTTCCACCCTATTCAAACCACCCGGGAGTAAGTTTCATTGTTCGTTGTATTTTCATTTCATAGTTGAATTCTTAGAAACAAAAGTTCTTCTTCCCACAGGATTTGAATTGGGCGGTAACGCGCTTGGCAATGCGTTGGCCGATTAGGTTTACTAGCAGAACATTGAGATGGCACCATATAGAGTATACTCAAAGACCAATTCGAGTAATGCGTAATGATTGTTGGTCTAGAACAACATGGAATCCGCTTGTACTTTCGTCAATCCCATAATGCACCTTGGGTAACATGTCATGACGTCATAGGGGGTATGTCCAAACAATACATTGAGGTGCCCTTAAGTATTTTACCTACCTCTTTTTTCATCATAATAGAAGAGAAGCTTGGCTCAGAAGGGACTTTGAGTTGTACGCGAACACGTCCCTGGTTCATGTCAACCTCTAGAACTTCGCCCTGTGCGCCGTAGTGTGGTGATGCAAGCATGAAACATGGCGAACCTATTGGGAAAAGCTGGTCGATAGACTGAATGTTGCTTCCACTGTGAGACTCGTGGACAAAGATGTCCTGTGAACAAAAAAAGAAAGTAAAAGTGCTGTTAGTGAACATGTTTTCGCAGTTTGTYAACAGGTTGTTGAAATTCTTCGCTTTCACTATACGTCCCAGCGGCCATCTTGGAGGAACTGTCAACAAAGGAGTTCTTATCAGTATCTATTGTTCAATCCTCCAACATGGCCGCCGGTATTTTATATTTTGAATCTCATGGAAATGGTTGAAAGCGAGCAATATTAAGAACCGTTAACATTGGCGATTTTTGCAGCGAATTTTGTGGCCATTTTGATCCTAGAGAATAATGCTAAAGAATTTTAAYTAAAACTTGAAAAGTTTTATTCAGTGCACTGAGATAAGCTAACTAAAGGTCTCCTCAGAAAAATAAGCTTAACCAAACACAAAATGTATTTTGATTTTGAAAATCGCATGAAAAAATGCAAAACAAATTGCTGCAAAAATCGCCAGCGTAAACGGGCCTTTATGATAACCCCATTAGATTGTGCACTTTTCTAAGCAGCTTTCCTCGAAATGTCGTTCAAAAACAGGTTTCAAAACAGGAAATACCTATGTCCCAACTTGAGCTATTTTTTCACACATTCATTCGTTCAGTTCATTCATTACTCGAGTTCATGTAGCCTGCGTAGCCAGGCGTTCCTAGCTGCTGCGAGAGAGCCAGAAGGTTTCTCGGGCCAAACTCTCTCGGAGCAGCTAAGAACGCCTGGCTACGCAGGCTATAGTTCATATACATAACCCTACCTTGGCCACGGCTTGGAATGCGTATGGTTTGGGTACTAGTGACCACTCCTTTTCTAACGTCACTTGGCCTTTTGCACCACAGACGAACCTTGCCATTGTTGGAGAAAAAAATGTCAGTCGATGTGCGTGTTTTATCCTTCAAAAGCTCAACAGTGTTGGCTGTTTCGTACGAGTATGAACTTACCTTCGACCTTGGATAGGGCAAGCTTCGATTAGGATATCAATCTCGCCTACTTCGATTCCTCTTCTCTCAAATTCACTGATGAAGGAAAAAAATATGTAGTTCACTGTTCAATGTTGCTGCAATTTGGTAAATTTGCGGAGACGAACAAAACTCCAAACTTAACTTCTTTCCTAATGGCCGAACGAACAGTGACTTTCTGTGAGGCCTTAGATATTCAAATATTCAAAACCGAAAAAAAATAACCCGTATTTCGGCCCTA